AAATTTTGTTATCAATGAGAGACTAACCAAAAAAACCATCATCCTCCTGTATAGACAGATAGTGAGCTTGGAAGTATACTCTCAGCGGAAACGCTCTAGGGCTCTTTTCCAACGAAATGCTTTCTGCCTTTAGAACTGTTGTTTTCGTCACCGTGAATTTTTTTTCTCTGGTCACTCCACAAACCACATATTTTTGGTATTTTTGTCAATGATGCAAACGGTAAACACATTTTCAATACTGTGGACCTTTGTGATGAAGAACGCAGCTGTACAATTGAATGGAGCAAATTTGCACGGTGGGAAACGAACACGGACTGCGAGCGGTTCAGTGACAGCAACAGTCCCAGCAGGGTTTTTACCTTCGACACTAATGGTGTGGAACGATGCGCTAGCCCTAGTCAAGAACATAAGAAGTGTGACTGAACAAAAAACTCACCTTGGAAAGCCGCTAGAAAGGGAGCTGAACGGCTTCGAAGTGGGCGTGGTTGGAATCGGCCGAGGGACTGCACAACCACGCCCACTTTCAGCTCCCTTTCTAGCGGCTTTCCAAGGTGAGTTTTTTGTTCAGTCACACTTCTTATGTTCTTGACTAGGGCTAGCGCATCGTTCCACACCATTAGTGTCGAAGGTAAAAACCCTGCTGGGACTGTTGCTTTTGAGTGCTCGAAGGTGGAAGGGGAAACACGAAGAACCAGGAAAATTCCCCATTGCATATCTCAGCGTATTCCACACCTCTCTTTCTCAGCCGATTACTTTCAGCACAATAATGAGCTCCATCACTGCTTACTTAGCATTCATCCAATCAGGCTTAGTCGTAAGACGCACATTTTGGGAGACCTGTTCTTGCAAGACTCAAGCGATATTCACGCTGATTCCACTCGATCATTTCTGTATATCTGCTCACTGCAAGATGCTTATGCAGAGGGGGGGGGGGAGGGAGGGGGTCAATAAAATAAAACATTTTGTCTTCACACTCAATTCAACGATTTAGTCATGCTTTGTTAGATTCAACCGATGGCCCAACTTAGAATTGAAGAGCACATTCCATTTCATAAAAAACTTCATAGTGGCCATCTACGTGGACGGCATCAGAAAAATTTGCCCTGGAAACATGGTGCACTGGTCGAGCTCAATGGGGTCGTCGACGGATCCTATACATTACGACGTGTTCTGAAAAGCGGGTTCCGAGGGTTTTCATAGTCAGAGCTAATGTATCCAACAACAGATCGTGTGAGAGCGCAGGCTATGGC